TGTAGAAACGATTTTTGTTTAAGTTACACGTGGAAATTTAATTTATAATTACATCTTTTTATAATACTAATATTATAAATGTGAAAGTTTATATGGATGGATGGATAGATGTTTGTTAGAGTTTGTAGCCTAAACGGCTGAACGGATATCGATGAAATTTTGTGTTGATGTAGAGGCTTGGAAGAACACATAGGCTACTCACTATTGTTTTTTGTAATTCCACGCGGACGGAGTCGCGGGCGAAAGCCAGTTAGACATACAAATTAATAAAAATAATAATAGAATTTTAAGTGCAGTTTCGACAGACTTTAGGAAGAGCTGAATAAAATGTAATGAACCGTAATATTAACTTATTATTCAGACTATAGTTGACATGCAAAAAAGTACGTCACTTTCTACGGCAATTCATCTCAGTTACAAACAAACGCGCATACGCATGTATGTAGCCATGTATGACATTTTTTGAACTTTTAATTATTTTTGCTCCTATGTTCAAATAATATAATTGAGGCTAGTTACATCTTCATTACCTTTGTTTTATTACCTGTTTGATTCTAAATATGAGAACTAATGAAGCTTTTGCAGTTACTAGATAATTTACAATGGCAACTTTTATAAAGTTGCGTTCTGTAATGGAGGTTTGTAAAAGAATTTGTTTTCATTAAATTATTAAAAATCAGTAAATTAAAATCGTTATTTTCCAAATATTAATTTGCTTGAAATTTCAACTAATTTTGGTTTTAAAGTATCATATTACTTTAAAAATATTTTATTAAACGGTTAAAACGAAACAGTATTTAATATGACGTTTAATAACTGTAATAATTTCAACGGTGAGAGTTTAAAGTGAACGTTCTCTCAGTAACTTAGTGTAACATAACAAACAAGCTGTAACTTACCTCTCCAGCAAACAAATGAAATTAATTTTCTTCACGTAAACATAACTTAAAACAAAACATAATTAAAACCTTTACAAACACCATTTGTTTTTTAAAAACCATAGACAATCGCGCGTTAGTTTGACGTTAGATGACGGGAAAGCGGCCCCGTGTATCGCGGCACGCACTCGCCTATCAACTGAATGTTTTCTTACAATTCAAACTTCGAAGCCCACCACCTCGGCCGCAAATGTTTCTGCCACCTGCCCGCATTAACGGGATGCGTTTGCGCACACGGATTGCGTGTAAATCAGATTAACCTTCATTTTAAGACCATATTTTAATGGTTAAAAAGATAAGAACGTAGATAATAAAACACTTTAAGCAATCTTCTAAGGGTACATTTTTAGGACATAATTTTTCTGCAATAGAATGATGTAGAAATGTACGTAAACAATGTCTTCAATTTTATTCAACCCAATTTATAGGGTTCCATCTGGTTTAACTAGATTTCTCGCAAGCTTTTGTCGTCCTAATTGTTACTTTCTAAATTGACCTACAATAAAATCACTCCTGTTATATTACGAAAGCTAGGGCGGTAAGTTTTGTTAGGATAAAGAATACTGAATCAAAGCTGCCATTCATTTTAACTATTACCCTATTTTTTTTTAATTCATGTGTATTTATTTAATTCAGCAAAAGTAATCTAAGGGTCCACTCTACTTAGTCGCGTTAGCACTCGCAGTGCGGTGCGAGAGATTTCCTGTCCACGCTTGCCATAGCTCCCGCATGATACAACCGTTTTCATAGGTCATTAGGGCCCGTCATTTGACCATATCCTTACTTTTCTCTACCGCATATTGTACTCTTCAATTGAATCCCCGTATGACGCTTGCGATCATTTCCATTAGTCGTTAGCACGTGTGCGAGGACTTCCCGAATGCTGTATAACGAACTAGTTGTGGACTAATAAAATTGCCCCCTAAAGACTATGTTAGGCGTAAACTAGGCGTAAAAAATGAAGCGCGTCCATACGAATTAAACATACTTATTCATTTGTGTAATTGCGTATCAAATGCCTAAAATTAATATAAGGTTTAATTGATAAACAATATAATATTTTTCTTGATAACGAAAACCTATAAAGATAATTATTGCTTCAAAACAAAAACAGAGATACGACTTTGTTATAGCGCAATAATTTTTTTTAAAAACATCATTAAAATCAATAATGTTGGATGTATTGAGAAATAGACTTTCTAATAATAGGTCGTACGTTTTGTTCCAACAAAAGATTCCCAAGCTTTTTTTTATAAATCCAATACATATTACTGGTTTCTATGAACCCACTCTAGCTAAACTTACTTGTGAAGTATCAAGTTCCTCGCCATCTTTCACCATAAGGGGGAATTGAAACGTCTGTTTTCACTGTGTTCACTGAAAGGTAGCTGACATAGACGGGCACATTATAGGCTTATTGTAAATAAAAAAAACATTGTATAAACAATACATATATTTTGGTCTACGTAAAACACGATAGAGAATACATATGTCATTTGAAAAGTCTAATACCTAACACAATCATTTAATACATCAACCCTGAATAATAAAATCTTTTATTTGAAAACAGTATAAAAATGCCTACACGTAATACTTATAACCGTCGGTTTCCACTGTCTAAAAACTTGTGTTGTAATTTTTTGCTTATATAAATCGATCAACACCGACTTCACGTAGGAAACACCACATGAGCGTGCAAGCAAGAGCGCGGAACAAACAAGAGAGGCACGATCAGCCTAAGCGTTAGACATTTGATTTTTCTCTTTTTCTTTACATTTTTTTCGACAAATTCAGTGAAATTTTTAAAGTTACGTTACATTTGTTTGAAAAAAATAACTTGCTGTAAAAGCCGGAGATCAAGGTAATTAAAAATATCCCTGTAAAACTAACAAGCATTAAGCAATACTAAATTGGACCACACCTAAAATTTCTAAAGTTTCTAAACATTCAATATTCTTAATACTCGCAGGAAATATCAGTCAGTGCCTTTAACTAGTTACCAAATAAAATAAAATAAAAGATAACCCTCATAGCACGTATGTTTATGAACGAAAAAGATTATCATAATTTTCTACATTCCCATTTAAATAATTGAATCATGCAAGATGCAGTTTTATTACATTTTTAAAAAAAAATATTAAACACATCTTTTTAAATAAAAAAACGACAAAAACAATTAATTAACATTTTGGATGAGCTACATTAGAATATCTTTTTTTTTAATTATCTAAATTAGTGCAAATTAATTAATAAAAATGTTGTTAAAATCAATTGCTTATTTACTTTTTAAATTAAGCTTAAATAAAATAAAATACTTACATTCACAAAGTCTAAAATTTTAAAAACAAAATTTAGTTTAATGACTTGTAGGATAGTAACTGGACTTAAATAATCGGCTGCGGACTGATTCTGAAGTTCAGATCATGACTTGAACTATTGAGCTACAACTCAACTACTAAATTGACATGTCATGGCTCAACAAAGTACTATAACTATAAAATTCAAGGAGCCAAATTTGCAACTCAAAACTGAGTGAATCCGTTCACTTATTTGCTTCAAACTGAGCTGATCTGCAGGTCATCAATTTTAGTTGAGATACCCATAACTAATATTAACTAAATATGTAAGATAAAACAAAAATACATAACTATTTAAACTTAATATAATTCAGGTTCAATCACAAATATTTTAGCTAACCGTAAAACTCCACTGCCAATACTTATGTTGTCTTCGTTTTGTCAAAAGAGAGTGAAAGGGACGAAATCATGTAATACAAGTGATAGGAGTCAAACCGACTATAGATTTATGTTTCTTCAATATTAGGATTCTCGGAGAATAGTTGGTGATCATTGTATGTACGTAAATATTTCTTAGTGAACAAATAGAGAGTTAGACCCCATTTCATCATCGCAAACGACCATATCAAACGGATTACGATACTCGTCTGAACTGGAATGACACCTGAAAACACATTTCAATGAAAACATTGACCCAATATTACAGATAAATAACACTAGCAATTAAAATTTCCTTATCACATATGTAATTAATAAATTATCTATTCTTATGCAGTTATAAAGTATAAACATATATCACTATAACATTGTATAAAAGTCTTTTAGAAAAGATTTTAGTAACCAGACTTGAAATAAAGATTCCAAATGATATGAAATAATATTGATGGGTGAAAAGCTATTTGTTTTAAGCGTCATTAGGTTACATGTTCTGGATAGCCATTTAATATTTCATTTGAAAGAAAAAAAAACATAAAACCAAATCCAATTGAAAGATTTTCAGACCAGTTAAAGGTTAAAATTACTATAATTCTGCATACTTCTTTATTTATTTCACATTGAAAATTTGCTGAATAACATATGAGTTAATATCGCCTAAAATGGGGGTTGAAACAAATAACCTTTCACCCGTCTATATAAGTGTTCAAATATTGTGGTGCAGTGTGCAGCGCACTGCAAGATAGTACAACATCTAAATCTTATTAAATTAAGGAATTTCAATAAAAAAATAATAAAGGAGAACAATGATACCTTGTTTATAATAGAATTCCAAGAATGTGTAAAATAATGTCAGAGCTAATCCAGATACAAAGCCGACAATTCCAAAATCTCCGAGATATTGCAAAGCTTTCCTTGAGAAGTTAACATGCAAAGACTCCTTCAGATAATGACAGTGCAAAACAAGGGTTAAACATGCATGTATACCTGAAATCAAATGTCGTAACCTTGTAGTTTTAATTACAGAAAATCTTGATACATTGTTTTTAAGACATAAAAATTCAATTTAGCATCTTCTTATACAGATTTGTTGAATGGATCAACTTATGTCACAATATCTGACCTACATATTACATACAGCAAATTTCACATAAGCTTGTAGGGTAATCTATATCATCCACTAAAACACCGTCAGCTGTTATTGTAAATTCAATCGCTAATACATTAAATTTTTACACATCTATTTTAATTATTAGAATATTAACACTGATTTTACTTACCGGACAACAATGCCCACATTCCAGCCTCTACGTTGGCGTAAACTAGACAAAAACATATAAAAGCTGCAATACCTAAGATTGAGCCTAAAGTGCTAATAGCTATGTAAATCTTTGTACGTAACATCTTGAATCGCGAATAGCTAACTTATAAATGAACTTCACATGCGATTTGAATTATAAATATTTATACCAGCAGGAAAATAAACAAATAACAATCATTTACGCCACCAAGTAAATCCAATGAGATGACATTTGTCAATTGACAGTTTGACAGTGACAGTTATTGAAGAGAAAACATTTGTCGTCGGTCATAGATATTTATAATAGATAGGCGATTGTTTAGAAATGACAGCATTCCTTCATTGCGATTTAAATGCTCCTTTTTCTTTATACAATAAAAGGGGCAAACGAGCGGCGGGAACACAGAGGTGGTCAACGCCGCCCATGGATATCCGCAACACTAAAGAAACTACAGATGCGTTGCCAGCCTTTGAGGAAGTGATAGGCTTTTTGATGATGTATAAATGAAGTTTAGTACTGTTATTCGTTCGAAGACTTGACCGTGATCAACCGCAATCATCACCGCGAAAATGGCAGAAATCAAGTTGACACAAAATACTATACAGTTTATAGGCCGTCCATTTATAGAATTCAGTAAAAGAATATTTCAGATATTTTTTATTTATTAAACATTAAAATTACCGTTCAAGTTTTACATACGATTTTTTTTCTGTAATTAGAAAAGTTTAAATATTATACATTTATTGCAGTAATTTTAAGTTTATAACTTATAAATGAACACAACAATTTGAAATATATAATGAGTATTTAGCTTAACAATAATAAACTTATTTATTTTATAACTGTCGTCTTTTAGTACGTAACACTTAAAAAAAAAATTGTTTTTGTATAATCTGAAAAATTGCTAGCACCAATAACCAATCAATCACAATTAAAACTATACAAAAAATCCTAATGTTTGTGGCTAAGCTTTAAGAAATCTAAGAAGTCTAGGTTTTATTTTACTTAATGTAGCAGCATCCAACTCTGATTTCCTGTGGATCCGAAGGTGACTTCTCATATTCCCTCGCTGAGCGTAACCTCGATCACAAATGGGACATTTGTATGGAGTTTCTCCGGTGTGAAGTCTCATGTGTTCTCTCAGATAAACAACATGGTAAAAACCAGCACCACAGACTGAACATTTTTCAGGTCGCTCTCCTGAAAAGTGTAAATTATGACTTAATCTTTGACAGTCATTATCAACCAATCATCAATATTTAATTTTTATTGTAAACTAACAGACAAATGAAAATCTTAAATGTTGATTTTTCATTATAGCAACTCAAATACAATACTTTCAGGAATCTTTACTTGTTCCAATATTGCATACATATACATTTTTTTTTACATATACATATATGTATTGGCAAAATAATAGTGTCAAAAGTAATTAATAATTTAAATCAATAGATACAAACTTTTTCATATCCAAATAAGTTGACCTTTTGTTTGTTTATTGTTAACTATATAAAATAGGTTAACTATATATAACTATGTTAACTATATAAAATAGGGTCTAACATTGGCTGGACTATGGTAACACTAACACTTATAATTACCTGTATGAACGGATCGCCTATGAATTGTGAGAGATTGCAAACATTTAAAAGTTCTTTCACACATATCACAAGGGAATATTTGAGGTGTTTTTCTTATTTTCTCATGAACATATTTTATATGGCTCCGTAATTCACCAATAAATGCAAATGATTTTTCACAAGATTTGCATGGATACTTCTTATTATCTTGGTGTCTTCTCTGTATGTGACGATTTAAGTAATATTGGGAGCAACAGATGCGTGCGCAGACGGGGCATTTAGCAGGACTGTTCAAATGAACCCTTTTCATATGTGACACTAGTTTGTCCTGTTCAAACACCTCTCCGCACAAATCACACAGCTTTGGTGGTGGTTGTTTCTTTCCCTTTGGCACTTGTTTCTTTTTTACTTGGTGTATTTTCTTTTCAGTTTGCTGAATAGCAGTTTGAGTAGATTCTTTTTTATTCAGACTGAAAAAGAAAAGTTATATTAATTCACTCAAATTGTACAATCCAGGATTTGATATTATGATAATCTAATTTTTTTTACAAAATACATAAAACAATGTCTAGGAACATTTTACAGGGATGAACCATGTGTTACTTCACAACTTGTTTTATTTCTGTGCCAAATTTTAATAAGATATGTTGAATTGTTGTAGAATTATCAAGTAAATGTGAAAAAAGTGACTATCCCTCTGGAACAAGACCTATTTACAGGATCAAGAGTAGCCTGTATTCTTAAAGACTATGTTCTACATCTGTGCCATATTTCATTGAGATCCATTCGGCCATTTCGGTTCTTTACTCTAACAAATATCCATCCAAACAGTCAAAGTTAAAATATTAATTGCAAAGCAATTATAAAAAGCAAAAACAATTTTACCACCATTGTTCACCACTCCATGTAAATTCTCCTTCTAGAATAGATGATGCTACAGTATTTATTTTTTCCTTGTCAATTTGTTTCTTGGGTAACACCTTTTTTACTACTTTTTTTTCTTTACATCTACTATGTATGGAATTAACTTTTGTTGGTAATGTTTTATCATCCAAATCTTTAAGATCGGGGGATTCCTCCTTAATACTAATTTCTGGACCAAAATCTGAATCATAATTACTCGAGGCGTTCTCTATTTTAATATGAATTAACTTAGTTTCTAAGGTTTTGCAACTCTGTTTAAATACATTTATGAAATTGCAAAGAACATCTAAAGTTTCATTGCAATTATTACATATTTGACGCGGATATCCTTCTACATCTTCTATCTGGAAATAAGTGAATAAATTAATATTATATCAAATAAAAAGTAACTTATGCCTTTATTACGATAAACATACGTTAACGTGCAAACAAGTTGAAATCTTTGATTGGATGTTATTGTTTTTTAAATCCTCAACTTTTTCAAATATTGGATAAGAAGCTTCATCTTGAAGGCAAATTCTACACCTTTTATCGTAATAACTCATCTTGGTTATAAAATGTATACACCAATAAGATTTTTAGCATTACAAAAACACTACACAAGACTGACAGACTCAGCCTCAGCCAACTGTCAATGTCACTTAGACAGCACTTACATGACGTTGACTTCTATTGCGTTTTATTAGAAATATGAATAACTTGTCAGCTTTCTATTTTAAGTATTATTAAACTTCTTTAATATTTTCAATACTTGTATATATTGTGTATTTTAAGAACTTTTTATTGATTTGGGTCTTTTGCAAATTAAAAACTTGAACAGCAATTTCAAATGTTTTATTTTTTTTAAAACATATTACTGTAACAAATTGGAACATAACATTAAAACAGTTTAATTAACACAAAAATAATATAAATACTTAACAAAAGACTATTTTTAGTAATTCATCGCTTGAAGTGATCCGTGAACTTGGCTCTTGTCAAACTTTTTATGACATTTTTATGTGAAAACTAAATAGACTAAAAATCAACAATACAAAATAATTAAAAATCATCAACAGTATTTAATAAATATTACATAATTATAATTCTATTTAGGCTGCAAGAAATTTAAGAAATATTGGCCTTATTTGGCTTAATGTATCAGCATCCAACTCAGACTTCTTGTGGCTCCGAAGGTGATTTCTCATATTCCCTCGCTGAGTGTAACCTCGGTCACAAATGGGACATTTGTATGGAGTTTCTCCTGTATGGACTCTCATATGCTCCTTCAAGTAGACGGCGTGGTAGAAACCGGCACCACAAACTGAACATACATCTGGTCGCTCCCCTGAAAACCACAAATTATCTTAAAAATATCTATTTTGCTATGATTTGGATTACCAAAATGCAAGAAAAGTCTCGATAGTCAAATTAAATATTTCAGTTACTTTATTAAAAACTAGGTTTCGCCTGAGACTCCATATGTGGAATTAAAAAAAAACTACTTCCAGACTATGTTCTATTAAGTTAAATTTTATCAAGATCCATTCAGCACTATAAGCTACAAGCTCTATGAAACATCAATCCATCCAAACTAGCATTTATAACATTGGTAAGATTACCTGGACATGTTATGCAACAAAATGAGGGGGCTATAAACCAGAAAGTGTTAGGATTGAATGTGGATGGCTACAAACGTAGAGGAAGACCGAAGAAAGTATGGATGGATTGTATGAAAGATGATATGCTTAATAAAGGAGTGGACTCAGATATGACAGCTGATAGAGTATGGAAGAGCAGCACATACTGTGACGACCCTCTGTAAGGGATAAGGGCAAGTGGATGATGATGAAGATTACCTGTATGAGCTGATCGCTTATGTATTGTAAGTGATTGCATACACTTATAAGCTTTATCACATATGTTACAAGTTAATAATACTTGTCTTCTATATTTTTTCTCATGGACATATTTAATATGCACTTGTAAATCCTTAATGAATGCAAATCTTATGCCACAAGTACTGCATTGATAGTTCTTGTTATCCCTATGTTTTCTTTCAATATGACATTTTAAGTAATATTGGGAGGAACAAGTCAGTGAACAGTGGGGGCACTTAACAGGAATGCTGTAATGGACCCTTTTCTTGTGTGCAATTAGTTTAAATTCATGTTCAACCACTTCTCCGCAGAGATCACAAAGTTTAGGACCTTGTGTTTCTTGTTCCTTGGATGGTTTTTTTCCTGTCACCAGTTTTTTATTAGTTTTATGAGTTTGAGCAGTTTTGTTTTTATTTAAACTGAAATGCAAAAGATTTAAATATAGAATATTAAATTATAAATGATTCTTACAGTTGAGTAATAAAAGGAAATTTGTCTTAAAAGTTAAGGCCATTTAATCCATTAAAATTTTGATGTCTGTCAGATTAAGTGATGTTTATTATGCAAAAGATTTAAGATTTCTTTCAGTATTCAAATATAAGTGAGGTTGTGAGGTAAGTGCATATTTATTATCTGTGAGAAAATGAACATTACCACCATTGTTCTCCATTCCATGTGAATTCTCCCTCCAAAATCGAAGATGCTATTTTACTTATTTTTTCTCCACCACAATATGTTTTCAGTTGTTTCTTACACACTTTTTTTATAACTTTTTTTCTTTTACTCTTTTTTCTAGTCTTAGATTGTGTTGTTACTGATGTTTTTATATTATCTACATCCTGAAGATTTGAAGACTCCACTTTTATAGTTGTATCAATATGTGAGTTATTATTACCCTTTGTGTTGTTTTCGATTTTAATATCAAGTAACTTTTCTTGTCTTGCTACTCTATTTAAATTCATTTATGAAATCGTAAAGTATGTCTAAAGCTTTGTTGCAATTTTTACATGTTTGATGCTTGAAGTATATCTTTCTAAGTATATTTCTACAGTTATCTAAAAATATGCGATTAAATCAATATTATGTCAAATAAAAAGTAACTAATATAATGCATTACTATAAATAAAATAAACTCACGTTAACATGCAAGTTGAAATCAGATATTGGATGTTATGGTCATAATTATCAAAAATTGAATACAAGGCTCCATCTTCTAAGCAAATTCTACGCATTTTAGTATTCGATTTATTTTCCATATTTAACTGAAATCTTACTAATATTACATATGGGAAAGTTTAAATGAATGAATGTTTGTTAGAGTATGTAGCCTAAACGGCTGAACGGATCTTGATGAAAGCCATAGATCTGGAAGAACACATATGTTACTTACTTTTGTTTTTATCTAATCCCGCAAACAGGAGTAGCGGGCGGAACCTAATACAATGTAATCAAAATTCTTTCATGCGATTTTAGTTTTCCAGTATTCACAATCACAACAACAATATTGACAATTTTAATTTGTTAATTTGAATTTGTCAAATTGACATTTAATCAATTTGATCTGCCTGCGTAGATATAACTAGATAGGCTATTTTCGAAAATGATACCTTCTGCATAGTTCTGACTTAAATGCACCTTTTGTTGTTAATTGTTCTTGAAAGTAAAATCTAAGTCTATTAATAGTTCGAAAACTCTTCACCGCGTAATACCACAACCACCACAAATGAAAAATATCGTTATGCATATTTAGAAGCCTGTCCATTTTTAGAAGTCAGTGCCTACCTGTCACTGGAAAGGAAACCATAGACATCTGACAAGTGGGAATTATTGATTCGTTCTTTATACTTCATGAATTTACCCAGTTATATTTTATTAATTCTAAAATTCTGACCTAATTTTATAGTTCTTTATTGATTGGGATGTACGCTAAATTTTAACATTTTAAAATTTGAGTGTTCAAACATTACAAGATTCTTAGTACTTGAGCCTGATCACAAGACCAAACATAGACAACAGTTTTATCGACATTCGTTTTCTGTCATCAGGTGATAGGGATTGGGAGTAAAATTCCTGAAAAAGGATTTACGCTAAGATTTAACTAAATCGCCATGTCTGGAAAAGATAAATTAGCTATTTTCCCTTCCCGGGGGTAAGTATTTTATGTTTTTAATGTTACATAGGACAAACCTCAGTTATTAAAATGTTCCATGATCCCAAAATGTATTTTCTGGTTTTAGTGCTCAAATGTTAATGAAGGGCCGATTGGCTGGAGCACAGAAAGGCCATGGTCTCCTGAAGAAGAAGGCTGATGCTCTACAAGTCAGATTTCGTTTGATATTGAGCAAAATTATTGAGGTACGTAAAAACTATAAGTTTATGTCAACCAAATGCATCTATTTCTTACTAGTTACGCAGTTTTTGATTTTAAACAATATGATAATATAAAATTCTTAAATTAGATACTAACAAAGTTCTGTATTGTTTTACTTTCAGACTAAAACCCTTATGGGTGAAGTAATGAAGGAGGCTGCGTTCTCTCTTGCTGAAGCCAAGTTCACAACAGGAGACTTCAACCAGGTTGTGCTACAAAATGTCACCAAAGCTCAGATTAAGATTCGCTCCAAGAAGGACAATGTTGCAGGTAAACATTATGTATTAAACATAAAAGTCTGGTTTTCATTAGTTAGTTACCTTTTTTTACATGCGAAAAAACTGCATACTTCATCCTACCATTTCCTCAAAGGCTGACAACAAATCTGTAGTTCCTCTGGTGTTGCAGAGGTCCTTGGGCACCATTGATCATCTTGGTGTTCCTGCAGCTCATAGGCCCTTTTTTAAAATAAAATATTGAATTATTGTAATATCTGTATTTAAATATGAATTTTGTCATAGGCTCTTATTGTTTTTATTTCTTAACATATCAAAATTAACATTCATATAATCTAATCTGTTTTACAAGGCTTCATAGTAAAATGAACATTAACTTAAATTTTTGTATAAACATTACCTTGTGTATAATATTAAACAACATACAATTTTAGGTGTTACACTGCCGATTTTCGAGTCATACCAGGATGGCTCCGATACATATGAGTTGGCGGGTCTTGCCAGAGGCGGGCAGCAGCTGTCCAAGCTGAAGAAGAACTTCCAGAGTGCTGTGAAGCTGCTTGTCGAGCTCGCTTCCTTGCAGACATCATTTGTTACTCTTGATGAGGTCATTAAGATTACCAACAGACGTGTCAATGCTATCGAGCATGGTAAGTTATCTGTAGAAAATCTTATTA